AATCCTCATCACTGATAATCGGATCCACAGCATGAAGATCTGAAACATCATACCTAAGCACTTTGAAAAGTAAAAACGGGGTATTGGGGCTCTAAAGAAGCTATAGAATCAATAAATAACAGAAATATAAATAATTGATTAATAACTGAAACAAGATAATTTAGCAAGACTTTGAGGCATACCATACTAATCAGCACATACAGAAGACAGGACATTGACGTCAAGCTTAGGAAGCAACTCCACATAATGACAAGCAGAGCAGCCGATCCCAGCCCTACAAATGACTGGAATCCAGAAATTGAACAATTTTTCCAATAAACCAACAGAAAGAGCAAACCTCTCCCAAATTTTGCACACCCGCAACAAACCATCGGCCAATGCCGTTCCATGAAAATCCCGATCTTATCTCTTAAACAGCTCAAAACAGTCCATGCCACAGAATAATAGTCCTTCGATTGCAACCATTTCAACCCTTGATTGAACAGCCCAATATCCTCCATCGCCCAACACCTCATGAAAAATATTTGGCTAGAAAACTGTAAATTTATCAGAATTGACTGAATCACTAAGTACTAAGCTCCGGGGGTCCTCTTCCATATTTCTAAAACAACCGAGCTACTAATGCGCTCCCGCTAAAAGATCCTACCTCTTAATGCCAAACAATGGGCACCACTATCAAACAAGTGTAGATGTGGCTCAAATTTCCGCTATTTCAAGTCATTACATGCGATCCGAACAGTAAATTCCCAGAGTCTGAGCATGCGAGATGCATAAGACGAGAGCAAAAGAGATCCAGAATATTCCTTCTCCACCCAGCTGAAGCCAGGATTCACGAACTTTCAGTTGGGAAATCAGTAAGAACAGAAACTAAAACAGTACAAATTGCTTCACATGTACGTCTTCCTAAAAGCAAGTCCCATAAATGAACTCACAGCATTTTTCACTTTTGACCTCAACAATACCCCCAAAAAAAGGAATTCCGAGCAAAATCCCCACAAAAATGGGAAGAAGAAAAAGGAAAAAAAAAAAAAAAACTCCACAAATTACACAAGTCACATAAAGGAGAATTTCATACAAGGAAGGCGAATTTAGAGGGGGATAGACAAGAAGGGAGTAAAATCTGAGTGAAATGCAAAAGAATTCTTCAGAATCTTTGGTTGATAGAGGAAAAAGTTGGAACCCTAGCTTTTACTTTCTTTTTCAGGGAATGCCTGTGAACAAAAAAAATTAAAAAAAGTCTCAAAAAAGTAGTCATGAGAGTGAGACAAGCAGTGATTATGAGAGAGAAACTAATTTTGATGAGAGAAGGAATGAAATGAAAATCTTTTTTTAATAAGTTTTTTATGGGGTTAGGGTTAAGTGGGGAATGGTAGATTAATTAAATGGGACCCATTTAATCCTTAAATTTTACGATATATTTTTTTTTAACTATATTAAAAAAAATAGGATGGGATATTAAAATAACCATTTGCATTATTCCTTCTCAGTTCTCAAAAGCCGGTCACGGTTCAATCGGACCGCACGAGTATAGCATAGTCAACAAGTATGTGAAACACTTACGCATATTATGTAATCGTTTATTCAAATCGAACGTCGCATATTTTACGAGTATGCGACATATTGTCGCATAGTTTATAACTCGCATAATTTACCATACGATATTCTTTCGCATAACAATTCAAGCAGGACGAGGTTGAATTATATACTGCGAGTGTTCACACTAGGGGCGGTACCGTAATTAACCAACTCTTCAAGTGTGAACGCAACAAACCAAGTAATTACTTGGTTTGTTGCGTTCACACTATCGCATATCCAAATTGAATGTCGCAAATTTTATGTTATGTGACATATTTTGGCATAGTTTACAAATCGCATATCCAAATCCACCGCATAATTTACCATATGCGAGATCATTTCGCATATTCTTTTATCGCATATTCAAATCCACCGCATAATTTACCATATGCGATAACGTTTCGCATATTCAGGAATCGCATATCCAAATTGAATGTCGCATATTTTATAATTATGCGACAAATGTTCGCATAGTTTACGACTCGCATATCCAAATCTATAACTCTGTATAATTAACAATTATGCGTAATATGTTCGCATATTTAAGAATCGCACATCCAAAGCGAAAGCCGCATAATTTGGTACTATCTGCCATATTTTTGCTAATCCATATTTATGAATTGTATATCTGAAAAAAAAAAAAAAATGTTTCGCATATTCTTCACATACTTTACACAGCGCATTGATTGTCTGATTTTTCACATAAAAAACTTAGACGAATGGCTTGTACTTACATTAATTATCGATATATATATATATACCACCATAATTGCTACTTATGAATTGTAAAATTTAATTGCTAACCTTTCAATTTTCAAAACCAAAAACAAATAAAAAAACACTAGCAAGCGTAAAATCATTATATTCTGATCGCAAAAAAAATAAAAAATAAAATAAAATGCGAGAAAAAAATAGATAGGATTTCACGCAATAAACAGATCGCGGTCTGCTTCCGTGGCGTGGAGTTGACCGAGGGTGAGGAAGATGTTTGCTATCGAGTGTTTTTCAAGAAATGCCATGAGAAGGCAGACATACACCAAGGCCCTGTGTTCAATTCCTTGTGGCCAGAAATTACACGTTCTCTGAACCGCACGTTGGGTTATACCTTGAAGGAGTATTCTCCTGCCCAAGTTCGGGGAAATATTCAACGACTCAAAAAATATTTGGATATTTTTCAAGTTTTCTGTTGATTCCAAGAGTCCGAGTGTGTGGTGATGTTGGTCTTCTTAGTGCTAACCAAATGTACTGGTTGTATGTGGGCGAGGTAAAATATTTTAGTATTTTAGTTTGTTCATGCATTTTGCGACGTGGTCATAACCATAAAAAGTTTCAAATTTAATACACAGGAGTAGACAGACGCTCAGACATTTTTCAGTTGGTACGAATTCCCTTGGTATCGTGACTGTTACGAGATTTTTACAGAGTGCAACGCAGCGACGATCGACTTGGAGGCTCGAGCTGGTGCTTCGGTTGGTAACCCAATCTAGGGGGTAGACATAGACGATGATGGCACTAACGACTTGGAGGGTTGATGACATTCTCGAAATGAGCTCAAGAAGGATTATTATGTTAAGCCCGACAGGCAGATTTATTCGGACATATTTATAAAGAATTGAGTGGTGGTGGTTTTGGATATAGAAGTTGATTAATTATTTTGTCAGTAATTAAATTACTCAACGAACGTTGGATCTTTAACATGGGGAGGTAATTCGAGCAATTAGCCGGGAAACGAATTAATCGTAATTTAGAGCTAAATGAGAAGTGTAATAATATTTATCTAGTATAATGGAATATTATTCAAGTATGAGCAAAGTGTTTTGGCTCACAGTTAGGCTCATACTTAGGAAATCCATTGTAATGCCCCGTTTGATTATAGAATATTTGGGAATTTATTATTATTATTATTATTATTATTACTATTATTATTATTATTATAATGATTATTATTATTTACCTTTATTTGTTTTTATTATTATTGAATACTAAATATTATTAAATGCCTAAAATGACTTATCTGTCAATTTGCGATTAAAATATCTAATTGTCTAAATGATATTTATTATTTAATATTATGTGTGTATTTGTATTATTAATAATATTATTATTTTATAATTATGTGTATTATAAATATAAATAATATCTGTTTTATTTTTATCGTCAATCATATCGATCGGGAACTCTCGTTGTCGCGTTATATTTCGTTCGGCCGATTAAATTGGTTCCGACCCAATTTATATGATATATCTAACCCAAGAGTACCTAAGAGTTGCTAAATTGTCGGCCCAAACTAATAATAAGCAACCCATTTTCGGCCCACTTTTAATTGCCACCAAATCCCACTTTCAGTCTCTCTCATTTTGAACAGAGAAGAACGAGTCGCAACTAACTTGAACTTCCCCTCTTTTCTCGGCCATCAATCCGCCACCAGCAGCGACCACGACGCCCGACCTGCTTGAAATCCGGCGAGCTCACCCACATATCTCTCTTCCCTTCAAGCCCTATTTTTCCACCTATTTAAGGAACCCTCCAATTAGCCGCCACTCTCATTTTCTCCTTCAGTAAAAAGTTCACAGAGAATTCGCAGAGATGGCCCAATTGTACCAGCCATCCCTCACGGCAGAGCTTCGTTTTTTTTCGACAGCAAGGGCACCATGTTCCGGCGAGTCGATCACCACCAGCTCGACTACGAGCAGAACCAGCGAATTCGAAAGCCAGCCATTTCTGGCTACGAGGAGTCCGTGCGCGCCGACGACCTCCGAGACCTTTGAGCTCTGACCTCCGATCTCTAGACGGACAACTAACTTCTATCTCGAGCCGCGATTCCCCGAGCTCCTCCGCGACCTGAGTCCAATTTCCCGGCGAGAGCAGCCGAATCGGCCCAACGACGAGATTCCCGGCGACGCGAGGTAGTCGAACCGAGAACGAGCAGCAGCGGCACCCCGTCGGCCTTCTTCTAGGGCCCGAATAGCATCGGCAGCCCTTTCGGGTCTCGTGTGAGAATAGCGGCAGCCGTTCGAAGCTTTATCGGGCAACTGGAGACCTCGAATCAGCGGCAAGCCGGCTCCTTTTCAACGAACAGAAACGGCCCCTTCCGACGGGTTTCGTGGTCGACCCCAGGCAGCCATCTCCCCGTCGGCTTCTTTTCCGAGCACTGCCGACGCTGGGAGATCCTCCTCCCCCTCTCGTACAAATTCCAGCGACCTCCCTCGTGCAGCCCGTGAACGTGAACAGCCCAACGAAGAACGAATAGCCGCAGCCGAGAAACAGCGGCGTTCATGTGCGTGCAGCTGAGGCGAGTGAGGTCAATGTCTGGGAGCTTTGTGCTGAAATCCGATCCCAACGTCTTCGTGCTTATGGATTTGAAGAGTGGTAATCTCGAATTCCTTTTCCTCTTCGGGTGTGTAGATTCTTGATGTGAATTGTTGGGCAAAGATGCTTGAATGAGTTGGTGTTTGCCTTGGATTATTTGTTTTTGTGTTGGGCTGAGAGCATGCTAATATCTATGTTGCATGTATGTTAAATGTTTTGAGCAGAAACATGTACCGAGGTACTAATCTTCAGCCTTGGATTTCATGTGCTTGATTGGTTAAGGCTAGAGAAAAAGGGACTTGTGAATTGTTATGTTTTAGCTTTGTTTGGTGTAGTTGTAGTTTGAGCCTTGCTATGTGCTCTTATTTTTTTTTTTTCCTAGTGTGGCTAAGCCATTTGAATGCCATTTATGTGCTTTAAGTTCAGATTTAGTTGCAGTTATTTAAAGCCTTCTTGAACTTTAGATTTGTTGAGAAAGAAAATGCATATATATTGAGTTAAGCCTGTTGATGTCCAGTTTTGGTTCAATTTCACAGAAGCTCCTGAATGCATTTTATGCCATGTTCATACTTGTTATTATGAGTGCTTAAGGTGCTAATTGCTTCCATGAAATTGAGTTTTAAGTATGATAAGAGTTTCTAGATTTTGCTAGCCAAAGAAGCTTCAATGTGTTGATCTTTTTTTTTTAACTTGATTTTATCTATCTATTTGCTTTATTTTATTATTCGATCCCTTCTGTTTTAATATTTAATGGACTGATTGAGCGGAACCAAAGCCTTATATTAATCATTTAGAAACATGTTATACTTCATAGCATAATACGATGGTAGGTATACATGATGTTGACCTTCAGTATACAAAATATTGAAATCTTTCTTTTTAGACTTTCTACATTATCATTGTCATGTATCATATGTGTGAATGGGGATTCCATAAAATATTTTTCCAAGGAAATTAACTTACGATTGGTGCCACATTTTTTTATCTTAATTTATTTCATTGCTGTTTGTGGAAATTGAAACCTCTTAGAACTGTAATTAGAGTTTAAGAAAGTCAAGAGCCATGTGTAGTATGTTTCTGGCCTTATTCTTTTGTGTTTATTTTCATGTTAATTGCCTTGGTTATAAGTGTTATCTTGAGGCTGTTACTACATGTTTGTTTTCTACCTAAGTTTTAGAGTTTAAGATCAGTCTTATTTGGCCTTATTTGAGTTGGAAAAGATGTGAGAAAATTTTCAAATAATTTTCTGAGTAGTGAGATAATTTATTGATGGTATTTATCTCATTAAATTTTAGGTGTTTGAGGAGTCGAGTCCTCGACCTACGTTTCTACTATTTGTGTGCTTTGTCTACCTCGTCAACCAGGTGGGTTTTATTTGAAAAGTTTCTATGCATTAATTAATTGTTATTGTTGTGGTATGATCAAAGTATGCATGTGAACCATGTAGCCTTCGATGTGAGCTATATTGGCCGTCGAACGGTTATCCCCGTAGCTATAGAACGTACCCGATGGGTGTCTCCTTTATTTATGTATGGCAGTCAGGGCGTGAGCCTTGGCTGGTGATCCTCGATGTAAGTCCGAAGGAATGTTTCCAGGCTTTCGGGGTGGATTTACTCCTACTGTCTGGGCATCGAATGTAAGGCCCGCGGGGGTTTTCGATACGTGTATCAGCAGTGGTCTATTGGTATAGGTGTGCACATGAGAGTTGACTCTGGGAAGGAGATGGGATATAAATTGATTTGTGTTCATACTGCGACCATACCCACTTATTTTATGAAATTGAATAATAATTATTGCATAGTGGTGAGCACCTCGATTTCCTATTGTGCTCATCCCCACCTGCTCTTCATTGATGCAGGTTAGTAATTGCGGGCACGACAGAGAGAAGCGAGTGGTGGTCATGTTATCGTTTATTTCCGCTGCTTAAATTGTTTATCATGATTTATGCATTCCTGATTTATGTTGAGTACTGGATTATCGATAGGGATTGTACTCCCTGGTATTTATGGATTGATGAACCCAGTTTTGGGAATTGATGTCATTTATGAACCCGGTTTGGGAGTTGACTACTTATGATTATTGAACCCGGTTGGGTGTCGACTATTTATGAATTTTGAACTTGTTGGGAATTGCATATGTGATATTGTTGGAATTGTTTTGAAAAATGAGTAGCGCCTCAAGTGTTTTGAAATAAATTTTGAAAAAATTTATTCTGAATTTTGGCAAATAAAAGTGGGGCGTTACATCCATATCCCAGGCTTCGATGATAGAAGTTATAGAAGTTGTACATCTTCTTTTTCTTCCACCAACACACATAATACACGATCATGGTCTCCTAATCTTTTAGCTTTTGGTCGTCCAAATCGAAAGCAAAAAAAGAGAGAGCAAAAATCATGAGTTTTGTGAGAGGTTTGGGAGTTCCAACTAGTCGCTTACAAAGACGAATCAGATAAGGTGATCGGTCATACAACAGAAGACCTCAAGGTTCTTTTTTCGTATACTGTCGAATATATACATCCCCGACGCTCGTCAAATGACCACCATTCTCGGCAATCCCGACCACCGGCGACCACCTCACGCCTCGACGCGACCAACCTGCTCAGCCGCGCCACCACCGTACCACCGCAACCTCTCGTATGGACCGCCGCAGCGCCCTAGTAAACGCTGCACACACATAACAACCCGGCCCGACTCAGAGACCCCAACGACGTTCGGCGATTGGACCCGACAACTCAAGGAAGACGTACACGAAAGGAACATGGGCTAGAGAACACGACTCATAATCGTTCGTCCAGTCTCATAGGCTGCGTCATCGTCTCAGAGTTGGCAAAATTTTAAAGCTAAAGTTCTTAATCCTCGCTATAGATCTGCTGCGATAAAATTTAATGTTATTAGATTCATGTATGCACATCGGTCGACGTTCCTAATATAACCCAACACTTTTTTTGTGGACATATGGTGTTCCTACATTTGCCACGAACAAATAGGTAAAAGTTTGTGATAAAGAATGGAAATATTCAGTAGAGCGATAGTTGACACATTTTAAGTGAACGTTATCTTTGAAAGCCAACATATATTGATATTTCTATACTACTATATATTGGACATAAATATGGATTTTTATAAATGTTAGGTAGATTAGATTGTGTAAATATATCCAGAAAAAACAGTCCAATCTCGTGGGCCAATAATGTACAGTTCGAAGTTGAAAGCCTATGTAAAGTAGTTTTTAACCCAGTACGAGAAAGATCTCGACCTGATCTCGAGGAAAATTGTTCGGAACTGAATTGAACAATGACCAACCATAAAGAATGAAAAATGAAATCTAAACACTCTAATCGCAAAGTTGGTTGATTGGATTAAGCTAAAGAGATCTCATTTAACATTAATTAAAAGTAATGAAATAACTGAAACGCAATAAAAGAAAAACAAAAGGAAAACAAAGTATTCAAAACTGAAAGATGAATTAATGACACTTTTAGCATGATTGGTACAATGAATGAAATTTGATAAGAATAGAACGAGTTGAAGAATGGAATGATTATAAGAAAGAAATGAAACAAGATTTTTATAGATTGTTTAATATGTAGAAGGAATAAGAACTGAATGGAATGACAGTATCATCATATATTATACTAACTTATGCTAATGCATCAATACATGATAAATTCACCATAGAATTACTCAATTAGGATTATCCCTGATGTACAAATTTATGTCTAAAGACTAGCCTTTTGGAGTTTCTTACGCCTAAATAGTCGAGCTTTAGATCAAAGTCCACCTCTATCCAATTTTAAGCATGCAACTTATGCGACCTTGCAGTTCTAGTCTTACAATCACCCACGAGATCACACATTACCTATTCTCAAAAGATTGTAGCCTATTCTCCTCATGAAAGATCTAAGTCTTAGCACATAACATATCATCAAGCAAAGATAGAATAAAAGACAAGATATTGAACCTTATACAAAGTCTTAAATTCTCTATGGCATCCGCTAAGGTAGTGTTTGGTTTAATAGAGCCAAAAGGAGGGGAAGGATTTTAATGAAGGGAAAGGGATGGGAGGGGAAATGATGTAAGATAATTTTACTTGTTTAGAGAGATTATTTAGGAGGAAAAAAGAGAATGAATAGTGAACCTTGTTTGGTTAAAAAATTAAAGGGAAAACAAAATTAAGATGACAAACTTATCCTTAATGAAATAAGATAAAAATAAAAATAAAAACAATTGAAAGACCCTCCAATTTTGGAGGAGAGAAAAAGTGAGGGAGGGGAGGGAAATCTACTAAAAATTTTCCTCTCCTAATAAACAAGTGAAACCTGAAATTCTCCATCCCTTCTCCTTCAAATTCCTCAAACCGAACACTACCTAAGAGAAATAAGCTGCAAAATTGCAATCTTGACGGAGAAGTAAAAGAATATGGATTTAGTATTGGAGAAACTTGAGAGAGAAAAAGAAGTTTGTAAAAACAAACTAAAAGAAGTAAACAAATGATTCCCAATATTCAAAGATGGCTAAAATGTATCAAGTTAAGAGTATTTATACCCCCAACAAGCTTAAAGAAACTAGACCCACACACACACACTAAAAATTCTAACTTGTGGGCCGTATAGGATTCACTGCCGGCGAGTAGTCAGTGCCGGCTGCTGAACGGTCATCAGGCGGGCACTTGGGTGTGCGAACTCGCGTTATTCACCCTTTTCCTCTTAGTTTTTTTATCTACTCTCTTCAAATAATTTTTCTTCAGATAAAAGGAACAATTAGTAAAGAAGAAACAGAGGGCAATGAATACGAATTAATATTCACTTCACTTCGGTTCACACAATGACTCCATCTACATATATACTCCTGCATTCTTCAGGATAAACAAATGTGAGCAGCACAACAAGCCTTTATACATCTCCATAACTAAAATAATAGTAAAAACAAAAAAACAAAAAACAAAAACACCTACTTGACAAAGCGAACGAGAAGTAACATGCAAAAGCTACTGCAACTTCCGCAACACATAAAAAGGAGGATAAAAATGAAGGAANAAAAAAAAAAAAAAAAGAACCTCTTTCACATGCTCCTATCATAGACAGCCGTAAATGTCATGGTCGGCAGTGAAGAAGGTGGAGAAGTCGAAGTCGTGTTCTCCAAAGTATCCGATCCCGAGGAGTTATAATTGGACACTATTTGATTTATATCAGGCCTTTGTTTGGGGGTGTTTTTCACCTTGAGGTCCATGAAATCGGAAATTAGGCCAGGTTTGGTAATTTTTTGGTCACTGATGCTTTTCTCGCCAGTAAGCATTTGGACAACAGTTGACATGGAGGGTCGGAGTTTGGGGGAGTCCTGAGTACAGAGTAGGCCAATCTTTAAGAACCTGCAAGCTTGCTCGGCATCAAAATCTCCATTGAGGGATGTGTCCACAAGAGCCACCAGCTCGTTTTTCTCGTAAAGTTGCCATGTCTGTAGAAAGTGAAATTTTTAGTATATTTGTGTCAAGAAAATATAATACCATAAAGATTATAGGAAATTTCTTGGAACTTGGAAGTACGTATAAGAATAACGGATGATTGCAAAAGTGTCCTTGATGTTTGACCTAATTACAACGAAACCAGCCAACTTCCAAGATTCCGAAAAGGATCCCGGAGTTCGATTTATTGTATGCAATACAACCATATTACTAATTTATGTCTAAGGTAAGTACTATTGTAAAAGAAAGCTCTCCAAAGAGCTGATTAAAAGCCAAGGTGAATCCATGCAGGTAACTGTCTCTATATAAAATAATTACATACCCTTTCAAGAATATACTGTTCCTCGATAGGCAACCGTGTATTGGTGTTGTTTCTCCCGCTGACTATTTCGATAAGAAGAACCCCAAAACTGTAAATATCCGCCCGCCGTGTCAGCTGCCCTCTAATTGCATATTCGGGTGCCAAATATCCTCTGTTATAACCATATGTATAAAATGCAAGTTACTACATAAGCAGAATGATAGCAAGACAATTATTGACACATTAGTTAATTCGCTTAATGTTCACTGTTGCTATTAGAACACGCACACAAGGAGCGTGGCCTAAAATTCAGCATCAGAAACTCGTACTAAAAAAGTACTTAAGTTGGGGAAAATGTATTTTTTTTTTCCTAGAAAAAGAATTACTATTTGCCAGACATTCGAAATTACAAAATCAAAATAATTCACAGCAAGCAAATGAAACCCCATGCCTAGAGAAGTTTCTAGATTAAATGCACTCTCTGAATAATACTTGTAAACTTCCACAACTCACATGGTTCCCGCAACACGTGTACTGACATGAGTCATGTTAGCAGGAATGAGCTTGGCCAGACCAAAATCCGAGATTTTTGGGGTCAAATCTTTGTCAAGAAGAATATTACTTGCTTTGATGTCTCGGTGGACAATATGCGGCCTCACTTCCTCGTGAAGATACGCAAGTCCCCTTGCAACTCCAATGCAAATTTTAACTCGAGTCCGCCAGTTAAAGTATATATTGCCATGACCTCCACCTAGAATGAATATAGTTTCACCATGTCAACTTAACTAAGCAGTAAATCCAATAAAATTTGGTACAGATTGTACAGCAAAAGCCTCTTAGTATGATTAACAGAACAAAAATTTTAGTTATTTTATGTTCAGCTTATATAATCTGTGAAGATAGGTACTCCAAGAAGAATACGTGTCCAAGTAATTTCTAGTTGCCATTTCATAGGGATAGCTACCCAAGTTTTGTGTTATTTAGATAATAAACCAGTTAACATTGGAAATTACCAAAGATACCCTTAAGTTTGACTCTGCTTACATTATATCACAAATCCACAAAATATTATGGTACTCCTCAACTTCTCAAAATATTATATATAGCCACAAATTCAAATCCGGAAATTAATTCTGCTAAGAACTATCAAAGGATATCACTATGAATATTAGATGAAAAGTTTGGGTTATTCGTAATATTTAAAAAGTTAAGATATGTATTTGTAAAAAAATTTATGAAACCATCAATATCCTTTAGCTCCATTAACAACAACTACAATATGTAAGGTGAACATAACCTCAAGGTTGACTCTTAATAAATTTAATTTAGCTGCCTCTTTTCATAATTTGGCCAAAAGGCTTGTTTCTGTTGTTTTCCCTCATTTCATGTGACATAATTCCCATGAGCAGGATTGAAAAGAAAAAAAAAAATGTCTCAACTTGCATATATACTACAGCAAGGGACAAATAGTACAATGACTAAAACTCTACATTAAAAATTGCAATTCATATACAGTAAGATTCATACCAAGAAGCGTCTGTGCCAGACTGTTATTCTCTAGGTAGTTGTAGACGAGAATCCTTTGTTTGCCTTCCACACAACACCCATAGAGCTTCACTAAATTTACATGATCGACATCCGAAATCACTTGAATCTCTGTCAAGAACTCTCTTACTCCTTGTCTCGACTCAGAGGACAGAACCTTAATAGCTGCCATCTGTCCATTCCGGAGTTTTCCCTATTTATTGAATAATATTCAGAAATTCTGCAGTCAACTCCAAAATCCACAAGTTATCTACATGTAGCAAAAACATAGAGAGGATTTCATTTACCTTGAAGACAGAACCAAATCCCCCTTCTCCAATTTTATTTGCTGGACTAAAGTCCTCGGTAGCAACTTTCAGCTCCTTGTACGAGTAAAGATTAACATTGTGGACGCCTGAGAGCTCTGTACATAATTAGCTACATTACTCCCAACAAATTACAAATAATGAACTTATACTCAGAAAAAGAAAAGCAAAAAAAAAAAGAGTAATTGTATAACATTATAAATACCCCCTTGAGGTTTTTGTTATAGAAATAGACCCTGGAATAGGTTCAATTTTACAATATAAGCATATAATCTTGCATCAAGGAGATATTCAGTAATTCTGAAAGTATAACCAGGGCTTTTTAACAATTAGGTTACACTTGAAGAGATCAAATACAAGCAGAGAATTACGGTTTTTACCATCTTCCAAATCAGGATGTCTGGTTGATGAATCCAATCTTCTGCCACATAAGAAAGGTAGGCAGGTCATAACTCCTGGTATTGTCCACCAACCAAACAGGATGAAAGCAAATAGGGTGTAAAGACTGCCATAAATATAAATAAAGAAAATGAAAAAAGATTGTGGTTAGTTATAAATCAAAGAACTTAATAGTCTGGACCATAGCAGATTAAGGGTGAATTTGCAAATGAATATGGTGAGTTAGAGAACATGAAGTAGTTTACTTCGTAATCAAGTAACTAGTAAATGTAAAAGAAACAAAAAGGTTCTCTGCATCCAAAATCATTATTTGAAACAGATTGCATGTTTAGTACGTAAACGCCTTACTGGTATAATATATGGAATTATTATAGGAGTCATAGTAATCTCAATTTAAACTTTGTAAGTAGTTTGTGAAGTTTCAATTTTAAATGTGCGCTATTTCGAGTGGTAAAATATGCTTCAGCCACTTTAGTAAAGTGCAAACTCAGAGAGAACCTGAAATTTAATTTCAACTGAAACAGGAAATTCGCTCATGGAAGGTTCCAACAGATCTAGCAATCAAAGAACCTGACCTCCTCCACAAAATTTTTAATGAATGTTATCAGTATTGCTTGAGTATCATCTCAACCAGAGTCAAGACCAAACTAATCAAAACTACCAAGAGCAAGGACATCTTTCTAAAAATCATTTTGATGAAGCTATTTCAACCCATCAAAGAATAATAGAAAATAGAGATAAAAGTCGTTTTGATTTTCCTGTTCCTGAAAATATTTTATCGTTTCGACGTCGTAGAAAATTAAGCAGAGATATGAATACAAGAAAAGTAATTCCTGCGTAATTGAGATCCTAAAGAAAATTGAGGAAAAGCAAGGTGAATTGCGTGGATTATACACTCAACAAACTAAGTTCATCAGATCACACACATAATGATGTTCAAAGGAACCAACAACCACCATCTACAATCATAATTAGAAAATCAGACGTGAATCCAAAAAAAAATAGAAATTGAAAAGCAGGTGAGGAAAGGCACCTGAAACTAAAACCTGACGAGCAGCCAAAATCTTGGGATAGGAAAAGCAGAAGTAAACTCTACTAAGCTGCAGATTTGGCAAATTCTACTAAGCTGCAGATTAAAGCAAGTAATAATAATTGTGAAAAGGAGGATAAGAGCCTATAAATTCTCCTGAGCTAAAAGTCTCAGCAGCAGATGCCGCAAGAACTTGGAAATTTCAGGACCTAAATAAAACTGACACGGTAGGAATTCAATTAAGTGCACTTTCAAACCTCAATCAATACTTGACGAAAGGGCAATATTTTTTTAAGAAACACACACACCCACACACACCCAAATAAATGGAGGACATATTACGGAATATTCAAACAGGGGTGAGCATAGACGGTACAGTTTGGAGATTGAGAAATTTTCGGGTTCCTTGAAGATCACTAAATTCGATCTCTGGAACTTTACCAAAAAATTGGGACAGTTCTGTTTAGAATTTTTTATTTTTTAGTTCGGTTCAGTTCGATATTCGGTTCAGATCTTCGGAGGTTTCTTATTTTTTCAAAATTCTTTTGAATGACTTCTTAGTTATATTTTAATTTCTATATGATTTATTTTAAAAAAAAATAAAAATAAAAAAATCATTGATCAATATTTCATCATATTGAATACATTAAATTACATTTCTCATGAATTCTATGCAAAAAATAAGTAATTTGTTATTGCTATGAACATTAGCTATTATTGGAAATATTTGTAATTTTACAAAATATGATCCATCTTCCACGTCAGTGTGATTACCATCACACTTATTTTGCAAAGAAATTAATTGAATAAACTTCTTTTTTCAATAAAAGAAAGTGAAAAATATATGAAGTTAATTTTAAACTAAATGCATGTGGACCGAAGTTGGGTCATTTTTTGTATTTTTTTTTCCTTAAGTATTTAAGTCATACATATATTTTTATTTTTTTTAATTTTAATGTCTCATATTTGTACATGCTAATTTCAGTTATTCATATATCTATTTATTTGTATAATAGTAATAATGTCTTTATGTTTTAGAAATTATGAAAATTATGTTACATAGGGATATTTTTAGGCAAAAAATTTGGGGAAAAATCTTTTTCACCCCAATACAAAGATACATTAAGTTTTTCACACCGCCCACTAACAATTTAACTTTTTCACCCTGAAAAGTGCGAAGGTTATGCGAATGGACTGCATAACTATCGCATATCAATTGAATAACTGTCGCATATTCATCGCGCAATGTCTTCGCACTTTAACTTTTTTCACCTCAGAAAGTGCGAAGGGATATGCGAATGTCTTCGCACTTCTAACTTTCGCACAATGTCATCGCGCAACTATCGCACATTCATCGCACAATGCCTTTGCACTTTAACTTTTTTCACCCCAGAAAGTGCGAAGGGATATGCGAATGCCTTCGCACTTCTAACTTTCGCACAATGTCAACGCGCAACTATCGCATATTCATCGCACAATGTCTTTCGCACTTTCTGGGGTGAAAAACTTAACTTTTTATTGGGCGGTGTGAAAAACTTAGCAAGACTTCAAAATGGGGCGAAAATAACTATTTTCACAAAAATTTGACTGTCACAAATATCATTTGCCATCAAATATCAACATTTTTTTGAAAAAAATTAATGTATTTAATTTCAACTTATGTAAGAAAAAGAATATATGATATTTTTTAGTCACATTAATTCAGTTATATGTTGTTATTTTTAGTCACGAATTTCTGTTGTCTAATAATTATTATTTATGATTATATTGTGGTTATGGACACAATTTATCCACTGTTGATGTGGGAATTGCTCCCCTATCCATGGTGGGCACATGTTAATATGTCCATCGTTTATGTGGCATGCACACATTGGTGATGTTAAAATATTAAAAAAAATATCAATGTGAGCATGCCACATAAGCGGTGGGCATATTAAAATGTCCCCACCGTGGGTAGGGGAGAATTTCCGCCGCTGATGTTATATTTGGGGATACATTTTAAAATGTAATAAATTTTAAAATGTAATAAATTTAGTTATCTCAATACATGTTTTATAAATATATTTTTATTTATATTAGAATTCATCCAAAACATGTTTAGCACTAGGCCGCGCAACGGCGGGTGACATACTAGTAGTATAATAAAAAGACATATTTACAGTAGTCTTTAATGCATGAAATAAATGAGCATAAAAATGATAATTTAGTCAATATATTTTTTTTTTAAAAAAAAAAGGAAACAGTTTTTGCAAATCTATATCGATATCTATACTTATATTAAAAGGTATACCATTTACCAGATTTAGTATAAAGAAAAGTCAACAACATTTATTGCATTACTCTTTCCGTATTATACAATCTATACTTATATAAAAGGAGATTCTATTTACTACATTTACTATCCAGAAAAATCAACTGCATTAAATGCCGTTACTATTTTGGTATTATAATATTTTATTTATTTAATTAATTTATTTATTTATTTTATTTTAAAAAGGTAAGTATAATAAAAAGATTTTAATAATAAAAATCAAATAAAAATGTACACTTTGACTTATTTGATTATATTTGGTATTTGATTATACCAAATATATTCCTATGTAGTATATACATTAAATACTTACTAAAGTATTTATTTGTTTTATTTGTCAAAAAGTTAAGTATAGATTTGTTTATATTATCAAATCATAAAAATATTAAATCCATATTGTAAAATAAAAAAAAATCATATAATTTTATAACAATTCTACTACACTATTTAACAATATTTCTTTTTTATTATATAACAAAATAATAATTAAATATTATATGGTGAACAACAATAAGTAAAACTGTTATTTTCTCTTATATTAAGGGATAAATTTATATGCTAAAATTAAATTTTTATTAGTATAAATGTTTTAGTGAGATAATATATTAATTATTTTACAAGCTAGCCTAACATGCTCATATTTAATGTTTTAAAAGATGTAGAAAAAAAACTTATAATAACTCTATTGTTTTTTAGACTTAAACGTTGATTAAAAGTGGTAAAAATTCCTAATTTTTTAGACTTAAACGTTGATTAACACCATAGATTGAGAGTTTATATTTAGTAAAATTCCTAATTGTAATAAAAAAAATAATTTTTGCTATATTTTAGAATATCTTTAAATTCATTATAAAAAAAATAAAAAAAACTACAATGAAAAAAGCAAGTCATCTATATATGATTTGTTGTACTCCTCAAATCACATTCACAATTTGGCTACAAGGAAAGGAAACTCATTGATTAAAATATTATTTTGTCAGTAGTCTTAATGTAAAGAGACTTTAAGACTTCACTTAAATATTATAAAACTT